TAATCTCACTTGCAATGGCAGAAAACAAGAATAACCCAACTATAGTCTGTGGAGTTCTACCAGCATAGAGTCAGTGCGATTCCAGAATCAGCCCTTCTGAAAATGCATATCTATCTGAATATAGACTTCCTCCCAGTGAGGTGGCCATTGTTAATTTTACTGTAACACCCAAATGCCCCAAACAGGATTGGGGGCATTTGGGTCCTGCACAAGTATATAGTCTGGTAATGTAAATAAAACCAGGCCACGTGAAGTAAGAGCAATTACTACTCAGAAAGGAGGAAGGAAACAGTAGAAATACTATGTGCTCACATAGCCTAATATTTGGTCTAGCTTGACAGTTCAATTGAAGGTCCTTTAATTCTCATTTCAAGAATTTCCTTTCATACCACAACTCCCTGTGCTTCCTTACACATCTTGAACGAATGACCTAGGCCCTTTGCAGGTTTTATATTTTATTATACATTTGTGGTTCTCTCCTTCTATATTGAGAAGTCCTGGAAACTTCTATTCAGTTTTACTAGTGCCCTTACAAGAATAGCTCACATAACTTGCCTCTACAATTCACTCAGATAATGACCCTCCCATCAAGGATTTTTCTCTTACTGCCCATGGTCGGGGTACAGGGTAGCTGTATTTGGCACAAATTAGGTTTCTCTTGACATGTCTACACATGATATTAATGCGACACAATACATTCTGCTGCAGTTTGCACCAGAGTTTATTGCTCCCAGGTGCAGTGATTACATGTGTGTCCAGGATTGCAACCTGTTGAGCCACTGCAGCACAGCGCCAGCTAGCAGAGGGCCCAGGAGGTCAGCCTGCCAGTCTGGAGCTGCTGCACCCCAGCTCAACATGCTGCAGAGGGGCTGTCTGAGGCATGAGGGTGCCACAATGTGGGGCTAGCCAGCAGGTAGCCCCCACACTGTAGCACCCCATGTCCTGGCTAGCCCCAGTCACCATCTACACATGCATTGCAGTGGACTAAATAACTCCACTGTAGGATAGTACTTGTATCAGGCTTTACTATCTTGTGGCCAAATTAATTAGTTTACTCCAGCCTAATAGGGGCACACATGTAAATGGTGATGCTTTACTGCTGAGCTAATTAGTCAACTGTAGAGTAAAGCATCTCATGTAGATGAACCCCCTGACATGTAAGTGTTGGACTCAGAGTGATTAGCCACCCAAGTGGGATGCCCAACCATGAAGCCAACTTGGATTGGAGTTGGCTAACTGAACTGCCAAGCCTAACTAAAATTATTTCTTTCTATGATAAAGTGACAGGCTCTGTGGAGCAATGGATGTGATATACCTTGACTTTAACAAAGCTTTTGACACTGTCACCCACAAGATTCTCAACAGTAAGCTAAGGCAGGTGTTGGCACTGGATTTATGACCCAGATACCTTGTTCCAGGTGGGCTCAAACCCTCAGACTGACCACAACCTCTCCATTCAATAATAGGTGAATTTTATTGATACCCAGCAGTAGCAGATAAGAATAATGCAAGCAATTCTATAGCTGCCAGTCCTAGAGCTGTCACAGAGTCAAGGTACATCTAGCCAATATATAAGCTTCACCCTGAGGTTCTTTCTTGACTGTCAGAGGTCAGCAGCCTGGAGGTTGAAGGCCGAGCTCCACAGTTCCCCCTCAGGGGGGTTGGTGAGATGGGCTGGTGGTGCATTCTTTGTCTATGGTGACCTTGGGTTCTCCCCTCTCAGGGATCCTTTGCTGCTCTGAAATCCTTTATTTTGTATTCTCTTTCTCTCCTCTGATGACTCTTCATCTCTGAGAATCATTGGTTGGTCTCCCTGTGGTCATCATACTATCCATGTTCTGTCCTGTCAGCATATGCCTTTGTTTCACAAACCCACTACATGCACACATTTTGTTCTTTCCAGTGTCCTCCTAATTTGGTCCATCTACCAAAACCAGAAATCACAAGGGACCTGCAGTTGGGCGCTGTGGGCTGGCACCGATGCTGCCGAGTCCCTTATTTATGTTAAGGAACAGTGTGGTACTTGTCTTCAATTTCCCAGCCTGTATATCTGCTTGCTGCTTGCCTGTGTCAGACCCAGTGGGTCTTGAAGGAAACTTTGTTAAAAACAGGCTTTAAAAATCAATTAACCCTTGCCATTCCCCTGGACCATTGTTCTGATGCAATATCTACTTTACCTACAAGCCAGTTCCCAAAAGCAAACCTCTAAATACCATTTTCTAGCCATCAGCAGGGGTCAGCAACCTATAACTTACAGTCTTTGAATCTCACCTGAGGAGCAGTGGCTTCAGTGGCATTCAGTGGTGGTGGGCTTTGCCTATGTCTCAGCTAGGCAGGAGGGGCTTTGGTGGACAGGGTGATCTTTCTGCTCTACACTGCACCTGGGCTTCAGCGGAGTGGGAACTCTGCCCACACCATGCCACAGCTGAGTGGTGGGGAGAAGGGGTGGAGGTGACCAGGCCTACTGCCAGCCCACCTCAGGCCTGAGCTGGGTCATTTTGGCCCACTGCTAGAAAATGTTACTGACCTCTGCACTAAGGAAATGCAGACTAGATGGAAGTAGTGTAACATGGATATGAAACTGGTTAGATCATCAACTTCAACAAATAGTCATCAATGGCTCAACATCTAGTTGGAAGGAGGTATCAAGTGGGTTTCCCCAGGGATCTGTCCTGGGTTGGGTGGTGTTTAATATCTTCATTAATGATTTGGATGATGGTATTGTGTGCACAATTAGTAAATTTCCAAATCACAGCAAGCTTGGTAGAGTTGCAGACACTCTGGGGGATTGGGCTAGGATCCAGAATGATTTGGATAGACTAGAGAAATGGTCCAAAATCAGTGAGATGAAATTAAGCAAGGGCAAGTGAAAAGTCCTGCACTTGGGACAAAATAATTGCATGCACAAATACAGACTGGGGAATGACTGCCTAGGCTGCAGTACTGCAGAGAGAGGCCTGGGGATTACAGTAGACCAGAAGCTGAATATAAGACAGTGTGCTCTTGTTGAAAAAAAAAAAGTCAACGGCATATTGGGTTGTACTAACAAAAGAGTCTCATGCAAATCAAGGGAAGTTAATTTGTCACTCTATTCAGTACTGGTGAGGCCTCATCTGGAGCACTGTGTCCAGTTTTGAGCCCCACACTTTGAGAAATATATGGACAAATTAGAAAGAGCCCAGCAGATATTTTTTGTTAAAATATTAAGAGCTAAGAGAAAATATGACTTAAGAGGAAAGGCTGAAATAACTAGGGTTATTTAGTCTGGAGAAGAGAAGACTGAGGGGGGGATTTGATAACAGTCTTCAAATACCTGAAGTGAGATAGAGAGGGTGGGCTTTTATCTTTGGCCATAAGGGATAGGACTAGGAGCAATGCCCTTAAATTATAGCAGAGGATATTGAGGTTGGAGTCCCTGAAAAAATCATAACACAAGAGGAAGGTGGCTCATCTCTTCCTTGCCACATTCTGTAATTTAGTTTTAAGGTTAAGATGATGTCACATCACAAAATTAGGTACGTTAATGCTTTAGGATTCAAGCAGGGCAGAAAAGGTTGACACTTACTTGCCTAAGTCCACTAAGGCATCTAACAGGTATTTTAGTGTAAGATAAAAGTAGATATAGATGGAGGGCCAGATCCTGTCCCCCACATAAGACGAGGCTGGGTTTGAGCAATGAGATAAATCCTGTGGCGCACGGGATATCTAAGGGCCCATTGAGGATCATTGGATCAGAGAAAAATAGGGCTGAAAGAGACCTCACAAGATCAGCTAGTCCAGCCCCTGCTCAGAGCTGGGTGCCACTCAATCCCTGACTGAACCATCCTAGCCAAGTGTCTGTTCAACCTACTTCTGAAAATTTCCAGGGGTGGCAATTTGATCATTTCTCTAGGTAGCCTGTTCCAATGCTTGACTATACTCAGAGTCAGAAAGTTCCTTCTAATCTCCAATCTCAATTTCCTCTGCTGCATCTTTAGTCTATAGCTCCTAATTCTGCCCCCGACAGTCACAGAAAAAGCCCATCTCCATCTTCTCTATAATCACCCTTCAGGTATCAGAAGACTTATCAAATCCCCCTCAATCTTCTCCTCTGTAGGCTAAATAATACTAGTTCCTCCAGCCTTTTTTCATAAATCATGATTCTCAGACCTCTAATCATTTTTGTTGCTCTGTGCTGGACCTTTTCCAATTTTTCCAACCCTTTTTAAAGTGTGGGTTCTAAAACTGGACACAGTACTCCAAGTGAGGCCTCACCAGTGCCAAATTAAGCAGAAAAATCACTTCCTTTGATTTGCAAGTGACACTCCTCTTAATATAATCTGGTAAACCATTGCCTTTTTTTACAACAAGAGCATACTCATTTTATGGTCCACTGTAACTCCCAGGTCCTTCTATGCAATCCTGCAGTCTAGTCAATCATTCCCTTGCCAATACTTGTGCATGAAATTATTCCATCCCAAGTGCAGGATTTTGCAGTTGTCCTTGTTGAGTCTCATCTGACTGACTGAAGACCATTTCTCCAGTCTATCCAAGTCATTCCAGATCCTAGCCCTACACTTCAGAGTGCTTCTACCCAATTTGTGATCTGAAAATTTGCTAAACATGCACTCAATCCCATCATCCAAATCATTAATAAAGATGTTAAATAGTACCAGACCCAGGACAGACTGCTGGGGAACTCCATTTCATATCTCCTCCCAAATAGATATTGAACTATTGATGACTACTCATTGAGTATGATGGTCCAACAAGTTATATATCCATGTTACAGTACTTTCCTCTAGTAGAATGAGAATGTCTTAGTAAACAGTGTCATAAGCTTTCCTAAAGTCAAGGTATATTACATCCATTGTTCTACTTCCATTACCTTCACAAATTCACAGAAGTTTAGGGCTGGCAGAGAACTTGTGTGATCATCAAGTCCATCTCCCCGCTGCTCTGGGCAAGAAGACTGCTGGGGTCAAATAAACCCAGCAAGGTGTGCATCCAAAAACAGCAGCTACCAGGAGTGGGGTTTGAACCCACACAGACATATGTCTATTGGATCTTAAGTCCAACACCTTAACCTCTCGGCCATCCTGGTGTAAAAGACCTCATTATTATAGAAGGAAATCAGGTTTGTCAGGAATCACTTGTGCTGGCTCTTCCTGACCACCTTGCTCTTCTCTAGGTGCTTTACTATAGATTCCTTGAGGACCAGCTCCATGATCCTTCCATGTATCAAGATCAGGCTCATGGATCTGTAATTGCCTAGATCAGGGGTGGGCAAAATATGGCCCGTGGGCCACATCCAGCCCACAAGGCCATTCTATCTGGCCTGCGGGGCCCATAAAACATTTAAAAAATTAATATTCATCTGCCCCTAGTTCCTGTAAAAAATGACAGGAACCAAGGGCAGCAGGACCCAGGGGAAGCCCAGCGGGCTCCCACAGCAGGGCCTGCCCAGCCCTGCCCCCCACAGCTGGAAGCCTCAACCGGGGCTTCTGGCCTGGGACCAGGTGGCTGCCCCATGCCAGAACTGCAGGTAAAGGGGAAGCGGAGGAAGGGTAGGGGAGGACCCCAGGGAAGGAGCCTGGGGAAAGGTGGGGCACCGGGCATGGGGCAGTGAGGGGCCGCTTCCCCCTTCCTGCACTCAGCACCACCTTGTAACCCGGCCCCGTTGCTAGCCTGGGTCCTGCGCCGGCTCCAGTCTTGCCCATGGTGACAGCAGCTATGGCCCCCCCGCTTACCGCACTGGGCAGTGTTTGCCACTGTCGCCTCTGGGCTGCCCAGTGCTCTGGGTGGGCAGCAGCAGCCAACACTGCCCAGCACGGCAAGCGGGGGTGCCGCAGCTGCTGCCACCAATGGGTGAGCCCAGAGCTGGCTTGGAGCCCAGGCTGGCAGTGAGGCCAGGTTACAAGCTGGTGCTGAGCACAGGGAAAGGCAGCTCCTTGCCCCCCCCATGGCCAGTGCCCCACACTGTAGCCACTTGCAGCCCACGTGGGGCTGCCTGTGCCTGCTCCAGGGAGTGCCGGTCATGGGGTGGGTGAGGGGCTGCTTTTCCCTGTTCTCAGCACCAGCTTCTTCCCTGCCAGTGAGCAGGGCATTGGGGCTGTGCGCTGCCCCCTACCTGTACTGCAGGGCTGGGGGGCACTGGGAGTGAGTGGGCAGGGAGCCAGTGGAAGCATGGGGCCTGCACCGGTGCCCTGGAGCCAGTGCTGGTGGGGCCCAGACCAGGGTGGCAGGAACACAGGGTCCCAGCTGGCAGGGGCTCTATGGAGCCAGGCCAGCTCCCCGCTTCTCCCTGCTGGTGCAGCCCAGCCCGGCTCCACAGACCCCTGCCAGCCTGCGCCCTGCTTTGGGCTCCACCAGTGCCGGCCCTGGGACATTGGTTTCAAGACATCAGACCATTGGTCCCAAGATGGTAACCAGGGGGCAGGGCACCTGCCAAGGGGCAGGGCTACCCATGTGGCCCTCAACAGCCTGCCAAACTGGATAAGAGGCCCTCCACCCGAAATAATTGCCTGCCCCTGGCCTAGATCCTCCTTCTTAGCTTTCTAAGGATAGGCGCTGTATTTTCCCTTTTCCAATCATCTGGGACTACATGAGTTCTCCACGAGTTCTCAAAGAGCAGAGCAAATGGCTCTGAAATTATCTCAAACAATTTCTTCAGTACTCTATGGTGCATCCCATCCACATCCAGCTCTGCCACCTTGAAAGTATCTAGTATCTCTAAGTAATCCCTAATCTGTTCTTCCACTACTTTAGGCTGTTTGTCGCCTTCCATATTTTTGGTGCCAACTGCATTTATCATCTGGCAGCTACTCCCTCTTTTTGAAGACTGAAGTAAAAAAAGCAGTAAATCCTCCAGCCTTCTCTGCATCATCTGTAACTAGATTCTCTTCTGGATTCCATAAAGGAGCTATGGTTTCTTTGGCCATCTTATTTTTTACATACTTGTAAAATCCCTTTTATTGCCTTTTATGTCCCTTGCCGTTTGCATCTCAAATCATGCTTTGGCCTTCCTAATTTCCTCCCTGGGCTCCCTGCACTCCTAGTCTTATACTCTTCCCTAGTAAAATGACCATATGATGTACATAAACCACTCCCCTTGTGTTCAGTGAGGGTTGTGTATACATATCTGCAGGCACTTTTTGATTGGAAATATGGGCACTGAATATATGCAACAGCAGCAATATCTATGCAACTCACAGTGCTCTTCCCTGAGTTGGCTTGCTTCCTCTCTGGGAGTAAATATGGAATCCCACTAACTTTCTGGGTAGTAAAACAAAGACAGTAAAAATTAACTTGCTCATTTTTTTTTCACCTGGGACAAAACTTGCTCTGGCATCCCCATCACTTTCATTATTGTTATTATTATATGGCTGCACATGTGTTCTCTTAAACATTTTGCTGTTACATTTTAAAATTTCCTCCTGAGATGCAGTCCAGCAGCCAGCTGCCAATGAGAATAATGGAAAATAAGGGGTTTAGTATAGGGGTAAAATCAGCTTATAATGGTGTTCTGGATTTATTCAAACCTTTTGTGGAAGATTTTTTGATAAATTATCTTTTTCCTTCCAGGTCCACTACCACTGCATCGTCAATGACTAATGCAGCCAAGATCTTATTACTTGGGTCTATCAGTTTCAGGTTTGAGATTATAAAGTAGATGCTAGACAGCTCTTGGAGGACAGGAAAGCATTGGATTTGGCCAGTAATTGAAAACTCGTCTTTCTAAATAAGCCCTTGAAGACAAGAAGACCAGGTCTGATCCCACATAGACCTTGACTCAACAAAACTCTCAGTTGCTAAAAAATCATAAATCATAGAAATATGGAGCTGGAAGAGACCCAGAGAGACCATTCAATTCATTATCCTGTGGCGGTGACAAATTTCCTCAATCTCCCTAGGTAGTTTATTCCAGTGCTTAATTATTCTTGCAATTATAAATACATTCCTATTATCTAACCTTAACTAAGTTTGCTGTAAGTTAAGCCAATGATTTCTGGCATACACCCAGTGGACGTGGAAAACAATTTTTCCCTAGCCTCTTTATGAAAAACCTGTTGAACACTGGGAAGCTACCAGCAGGCTCCCTTTCACTTTACTCTGTTCTAGACTAAATAAACCCAGCTCCTTCATCCTTTCCTCATAGGTCATGTTTTCCAAATCTTTTTTGTTTGCTCTCCTTTGGGCTCTTTCCAGTTTGTCTACCTCTTTCTTAAAATGTGGAACCCAAACTGCGGTGGCCTCTTCAGCTGAGGCCTCAATCAGCACCAAGGAGGAAAATTACCACTCATAGCT